GTTGATGAACTGTGGAATCGATAAAGAGATCGATAAAGAGATCGACCAGGCTCCCGGGAACCAAAGAACCCGGAACCCACCGAAATCGGCCTGGAAGCAATGACCAGGAACCCGGGAACCCGGAACCGGGAACCCAGGAACCCAGCCAGCCACCAAAATCGGCGGGACACTTTCGCCAAATCTTTCAACTTCTGCTAGGACCCCTTCAGTGCAAGCACTGATTGGGGAATCAGAGCCTCCCATGTCATCTGGCTGGCTCTCGCGATGCGGCGCCAGCCCACGCTGATCGACACCAGCCGACGCTGGCCGACGCGAGCCGATGCGAATCTGCGCTTTCTCATCGACTGCCAGACGCTGGCTCAAGCTAGTGCACCCTGAAGACGGAAATTCAAGGACATACGAGGCTCTCATGATTTGCTATCGAAGGACTGGACGTGGATTAGGAGGCAACTCATGGCAGGCCTTCGTAAGCACGACTATAGCTATCTTGTAATGGCTTCGCTCGTTCCTCCGGCCCGTAGTGTGCCATCGTTGGCGTTTGATTGTGTGGTCGTGGGCCATGCGGCGCTGCTGGTCGGCGCTGCTGCGGTTGTAGGTGAGAGTCATCATGGATGCTTCTAGGTGTCTTTTCGGGGAGTTCTCGGGGGGCTCCTGTGTATAAGTAGGGGCTCTTGGGGGCCTCCTGGGGGCGCCTTGGATGGCTCGTGGGGCTCTCTTGGCGCCTCTGGAAGGCCTCTTGGACCCTTTTGGGGGGCTCTTGGTGGCTGCTTAGGAGCCTCATGGGGCCTATTGGGAGCTCCTCGGAGGCCTGGGGGGGAGGGTCTGGGGACGATTTGGAGGCCGCAGGCCTATTGAGAACTCTTCGGAGGCCTGAGGGGAGGGGCGGTTTTGAAGCCGAACGCTCGAAATATCCAGTGGGGCTCCCCCTCCAGGGGTCTTCCTGAAGGTGTCTTGGGACTCTCAAGCACCGTCTTGGGAGAAACTTGGGCCGTCTTGGAGTCCCCGTGGGCCGTTTTGGGGCTAGCGATCTGAGGGCTTCTTGGGTCGTCTTAGAACGTCGGCGACTGAAAAGATGACAACGCTGAGATCCTTCAAAAAGTCATTGGGAAATCGTTGAAGTTTGCCTCTCCTCTAGGGGGCTTCTTGAGAGTGGTCTTGGAGGCATCTTCGGGCGTCTTGGAGGCGGTTGAAGCCGTCTGAAGCTATCTTGAGCATCTTGGAACGACTTCCAATGACTCTGGGCCCTCCTGGACCGCCTTGGGGGCCTCTTGCGACGCCCTGGATGACCACAAAGGCAGGCCCCAGGAGTTCCGGCATCTGTCACGGGGACCGCCCAGGACTTGCATGGGGTACACTTCGTCCAGGGGCCCCCAGGGGCAGCCGCGCGCGCGCGAGCTAGATATATCTTCTACGGCTGTTGCAGGAGATTGACACACGCCTTTGGCCCGTGGGGCCAGCGAATCTGGCCAGAGTGAGGAGCGATGGCGCTGGATCACGCTAGATTGAGCCCGTGATTGAGCCAGAGCAAGCCAGATCTGGCGGGATAGAGCTGGACTCGCGGGACTGTGGATGCCAGTGCCGATGCTCAATTTGACCTCCCGGGACCTTTGCATCCCAAGGTGGACACAGCCCGGCGCCTTTGCTTCGCGCGTCGCGGCCGCACCCCGGCGGCACGCGATGCCCTCCAGGCGGGCAGGGGAGGCTGCGACGGGCTCGGGGGCGCTGCGACGTGGAAGGTGGTTGGCGTGTCGCGCCGAGGCGTGGTGGGCCAGAGCCGGCGGCGCGACACGCCAAGCCAAAGTCCTTGAAAACGTACCTCCCCGCCACCGGGGCGGGCGGGACACATCCAGATCCAACTCTCCACGAGGTCTTCGGATGCGCACCTCCGAGCCGCCGGGTGTGGGTCGGTCCTGGGGGCCAGGAGAGACGCCACCACCGCAGGAAGCACGAGCCAGGCAGGGCCACCCTCGCTGCAGAGTCCCTGCCGAGGCATCCCCATTCTCCAGCTTCGGAAGGCACTGTGGACCTCCTCGCTGGAGGTGGCAGGCTAGAGGTGGTGTCGCTTCTCCTTCCTCCGACAAGCCGCTACACCCCGGATTTCTCCTTGGGTGCGTTCTGACAAGAATTTCGAGGTGCATCCAGCCGTGGCGACGAGGGCCTCCCGCGAGGCCCTCAACAAGGCGAAACGAGGAAACAATATCGGCACAGGTACCCCTTCCTGTTATGAGACCCCTGGCGCGGAATGCCTGCAATCTTCGGACCTGGCTTGGGCGTGCAGTAGTCCCACACGGCGCCCGAGCGCTCTGGGAAGGCCCCGGAGGCGGGGATCACGGACTGTCCCTTGTACAGGTTGTGGTCGGCCCCCCCCAGGTCGAGCACGTCGGCGTGGTCGCGGCGAAGAAGCGCGCAGGTGCCTCCTGTGGCGCACGCCGCGCGGAGGAGGCAGAGGGAATTGTATGGCATGGATTTGCGCTGGCATGCGAGGATTTCCGCTGACACGCGAACTGCAGGTGAAACCTCTGCGGTACAAGCTGTGTGATGCAAGCCATGTCGCGCAAGCTCTGCAAGGCCAGATTGTTTGTTTCACGCTGACCACACACCTCACCGCAATGCGACGAGGGCGCGCGGATGGCAGGCGCCCGCGGGAGCCAACCGAGAAACCTCGACCGAGACCAGTGCTAGCAGCGGCGATCTGCCACCGCTCCGAAGATTATCTACGTGGTGCTATAACTCAGCGCACGGGGAGCCCACGGGAGGCCAACGAGGCGGCACAGGCGGCAATGTGGCAACTTGTCGGGAAGCCCACCACGCCTGGGTCATGCACGTCAAAAGGAATAACCCTACCAGAAAAGAGCAATAGAAACATACGCATGACTGATCGGCAGCTTACTTCTATGCTCCTGATCGCCTGTCTAGCTCCTCCTGCTCGCCCCTGGCCTGTCTAGCTCCTCCTGCTCGTACCGAAGCGCCCGGCAACACACTGTCTCGTCTTTCCGCTCCAGCGTGGTCGCCGTGAGCCGCACCTTGATTGAGCCCCTTGGCCTTGGTCACCGTCTGCACGGGGAACTCCGCCGGCCCTTTCTCGGTGACGGGCAGCGACTCGATCGCTCCCGAGTCCTCCTCGAGCACAAACAGGACCGCCACTTGGTTCGTCACCTCGCGACTACTGGACGGGAAGCAGTAGTCCATCCGCACGTGTGGGAGTTATCCTAAGATGCGGGGCCTCTCGCCCTTTGTCTGCCACGCAGTCCACGCGCCAGCTCCTATGCGTCATGTGGGCCAGTCGATGCGCGAGGCGCTCTTCCACTGGTGGCATGGTCGGGATCCCGCGCGCGCGGGCCCGCTGCGCCTCCTCCGATATCGCCTGAGACCCGGTCGTGTCCTCAGCGAGGTCGTCGGCGTCCATCTCGACACGCACCCTCGGCTCAGCTGTTGGTGGCGCCTCCTCGCTCTGCGGCTGCGAAGCTGCTGCCGCTGCCGAACTCGCCCCTGGTCCTGCCGAGGACGGGCTCGCCCCTGGAGCCAGCTGCACTGGGTCTCTCGCCACCGCTGGCAGGGGCCTGCCCTCCAGCGCAGGCTGCGCCGCCGAGGTGACCTCCATGCCATTCGCCATGTCAGACCTCTTCACCTTCAGCCAGAAAGTGCGGCGGCGCCCGTGGATGGGGGCGACCTGGCCCTTCGGCCCAAAATGTAACAGCAGCCCTGCTCAAGGTTGACACCGGGGCCCGCGTCCAGGAAGGCCTGTGCACGCGCGGTCGGACCGTGGGCGTTCCCGATGTGGAAGTCGAAGCCGAACGGCTGACCTTCGATGAGCTTTGGCACGCATCGTCGGCCCCGTCGCTCCACCGAGGTTCCAGGAGCGGCCTTGCACCTCGGCCCCGTGCTTCTCGACGCGTCCACCTCGATGTCCTGCGCGAAGTTGCTCGGGCATGCCGTGGCCCCCGAGCCCGCGTTGAACAGAACCCAGACCGCGCCTTTCTCGTCCAGGATCTCCGTCTGGGCCAGGACGGCACGGGTGACATGGTAGAGCTGGTTGTCGTTGACCATCGCCACGGGCAAGTCGTCATCGGGGGTGTCCTTGATCCCCGAGGTCGTCATCGCGTCGCGCCCGTCGAAGCCGAACCTGCTGTCCGCGTCTTCCTCCTGGCTCTCCTGGCCGTCGTTGTTAGTCGCCTCGGGGAGCATGTGCATGCCATGCTCGTCTCCCGTGTCGGGCCAGACGTCCACGTTGGCTGCGATCAGCGTCGCGGACTGCTGCTGCGCCCTCTGCTGCGCCGCCGCTGCTGCCGCCTGCTGGCAGGCCAGCTGCGCATTCGCCGCTGCCAACAGCTGCGGCATCAGGCTGGCCGCTGGCACTGGCTGCTGGGCTGGCGCAGCGGGCTGCTGGCCCTGTGGCTGCTGCTGCTCGAGGGCCGCGATCCTCGAGCGTCTCTCTCCGATCGACTCCTTGGATCCTCTCCTGTCGTCGCATCCTGCTCATTTGCCCGCTGCCTTCTCGTCGGCGATCCGCTTGCGACGATTGCACGCGATGCGGCCCTTGCCTCCGCAGTACAAGCACTTATTGTCGCTCTCGCCAGCCGCTTTGCCTTTGCTTTTCGGGTTGTTACCCTTGCCCTTTGGGTGTTTGCCCTTGCTTATTTTTTTGTCGCTTTTGTTGGATATAGCGTCCGCCTTTGTCGGGTCACCAGCATCCGTCGTCTGCCACGTCCTGCTCGCGCTGATGTAGGTCATGACACAGTCCATAATCTTGGGGTGCGTGTCCACCGTCGAGTTCTTCAAGGCTAGGTGCTGCCCAACAGACTGGTTTTCGATGCCGCTGACCGCCGCTGCCAAGATCTCGTCTGGAATCTCCCTTTCCGACTGGTCTGCATACTGCTTGACCATCTTCTCGAAGTTGTCAACGCTCTCACTGAGAGGGTCGGGCAGCTGGGCGCGCAGCACGGAGGACAACATCGCCTGACAAAGTCTCCTCTGCTTCGGCTCGTACTCATACGCTAGCAGACGCCAGACCTCAGAGCCGTGACCGACTGGCGCAATCTGAACCTTCTTCGAAGCCGCTCCCTTCACGACCATCACCAGTACGTGATAGAGCTGTCCGTTCGCCTGGGCCTGCTCCGCGTCGAGCTCCTCGTCTGGGATCTCAATCGGCTATGGACCCTTCGCCTCCGCTGCGGCCATCAGCCTCGTGATGGTCAAGCTCACCGCCGCAGCGTAGGCCCTGAACGTGAGAAGCCGGTCTGACCACTCAGCGCGGGCTCCGTCGAACACTCCAGGTTGCTTGACAAGCCTTGTGTCGACGCCGCCCGCTGGAGCTTCTGCCGCTGCCGCCGGCCTCTGGCATGGCACCTGCTGCGCCAGGCGTTCCGTCTCCAAGAAGCGGCGGATCAGCTCCTCGTTCTGCCGCAGCAGCTGCTCCATCTGCTGCTGCATCGCTTCCATTGCAACCGCGGACCCTACTCAGATTCTGTTAGGTCCGAGGAGCCAACTCTGGGCTCCACTACCACGCGTGGAACCCGCTTCGGCCTGTGGAGTCCATCAGGAGCCCTAAGAACCCATCTCTGAACCCCAAGAGTCCCGCCTTTCTCCTGGGCTGGCAAGGCGCGCTTGAGCAGGTACAGCGTCGGATGCAACACGTAATTTGCACCATATACATCCCTATCGTTCTCTGGCATCGGGGGCTGGAGACTCTCATGGTGGCAATATTTAGGCCACCCTGGAAACCATAATCTTATCACCATCACTGAGATCGGAATCGTCTTCCCGCGGTGGAGGCACACCGCCGATATTTGTGGTGATGTCAACCTCTGGGTCTGCGAGGGCATGTCCTCCTACAGGAGGATTTTGGAAGACAAATGAAAAAAAGTGCTCGACCATGGTCAGACATCTTGGACAAATCGTCTGCAGAAAACCTGGAGGACCCACCGGATTGCCCTGAGCAACATAAATGGGAACTCCTAAATGTGAGCGTGTTCATATTCGGCGTTTCGACATTGGGCAGGGGGGGGGGAGATAGGGGGCTCTGCTTAGCGCGACTGCTTGCAAACAGGGTGTTCGTTATGGGGGAGACTCCACCTGCTCGGAACAGGCGCCGAAAGTGAGCGTTTCGGCGTTTCGACATTGGGCGGAAGGGGGGGGAGGGGGAAGGGGGCCTTGCTCCGGACCTCTGCTTAGCGCGACTGCTTGCAACAGGGCGTCCAGCATGGGGGAGACCCCCCCTTGCTCCAAACGGGCACCAAGAAACAGTCAAGATCTACTCCATGGGGGGGGAGAGAGGGGGGGGGTGCGACGGTCCACGCCGATCGGCAAGACAAAGAAAACGATCACCAATGCAAGCGCTGTTGGCGGAAAGAGGCACCAACCTAAACGCTCGAAGGGCCACACGGAATCCTCAGATCGGCGCTGGAGCGCGCCAGGGGCGGCGCCAGAGGTGCCGCCACGGGAGGCCAGCGCAGATGCAAGAAATCCGCGCGGGGCGTCGAATGGGTATTGGTTATGTAGTTTTTAATTCCTCCGTGTTGAGACGCCTCTGGAGGAGGATCCCTCGAATTCCACCTCGAGGGCTTTCGATTGTTTGGGGGCAACGCTCGGGGGTTGGAGGTCTTCGGGGTCGAGGTTCGAGGTTCTCGGACGTTTCGTCGGTTCTCGGCGGGACTTCGTGCTTGCACCACTCCTGCTCCTCCGAGGACCGGGAGTGGGAGATAGCGGGTGAAAGCCGATCAAGGTGAGGGGGGAGACAGGGAGGGCAACGACACTGTCGCCGATAGCCAAGGGCAACGCGAAAAAGGACGCTGATCCACCACCGCACTTGCAGCGGTTGGAGTGAGCCGGGCCCTTCCTTTCTGATGCCTCGTTTCCTGCGACGCAAGTGCCCCCCCCGACGCATCGAACCCAACGCGCACCCATTTTTGGATGCACGTCCCTGCCATTCTTGGATGACAAAGAACGGACCTACTACAAACCAGAGTACTAGTCCATGGTCCCCACACCCTCCCGCACGGCTACACACCCCCTCCCCTTTACCCTTTTTCCCATGGCGGCGCGTCTTGCCCCCTGGTCGGACAAGGTGGTCTGCGTCCCAGCCCCATGTATCCTCGAGAGCCCATCCCAAGCCCAAGCTTAAGATGCCAACAAGAAGCTCATCCGAAGCCCAAGCTCAAGAGGCCAACAAGAAGCCAACAATGCCTCCTCGACAAGGCGGTCTCCATCCCAAGCCCAAGAGGCCAACAAGAAGCCTCCCATGACGCCGATCCGAGGCTGAACAAAAACAGAAACATCTGTTTCCGTTAGCGCATATTTCGTGTCATCGCCTTGTCCGTCTTCACGGCGTCCACGGCGACCTCACAGGTCCTACGATGGGACAGGAGGCCATCGCGACGCCCCCAAGATGCCCCACAGAGACCACCAAGAAGCCCCAAGAGGCCCCCAAGAGACTCCCAAAAAGTCCACAAAGAGCTCCACGAGGCCTCCCAAGAATCCCCTGGAAGCCCCAAAAGATCCCCA